ACAGCTACAGTTCCTGGAACTTCTCCAGCGACAAGTGTTATCACTGGTGGAACATCGTCTAGAGTATATAGTGTAGGTCACTGAGTCATCTGCTTCAGTGATGTTCAGTGGTTCTGGGGTATTCTCCCCATGTTTCCATCCAATGGTCATACTGTAGGTCAGACCCAGGTAAGAAGGGTGTTCAAGTCGAATGTAGTGATGGTGGCATACAACTCGCATGAGCTTCCTATCTATAGTGTTGCGGGAAGTGTTAACACACCTTTGCAACTTGCTGGTACTACAGGTATTCAAATGATGCAAGTTCCTTTGGGAATGCAGCTCATGCAGATTCCAACTCAAGGTGGCGGCACTGTTACTGTCCCATATTCTATGAATGCTAACAATAAAAATCAAAAATCAAAAACTAAAAGGTAGAAAATATTTTTCCACACACTTCTCCAAAACAAAACTGTACGAGTCCTACGCGTTTTGTACGTACAGGAAAACAGTTGTTGTCGTTGAAACAGGAACTAAATTTAAGCCAACATGAAGGATAGCATCATCAACCAGCCGGAGAAGGACCCAAATTCGATCATGACTGTAGCCGATCAAGGTCAGGGAGGTCTCGAGGAAACTAAAAGTTAGAAAATATTTTCTACACACTTCTCCAAAACAAAACTGTACCAGTCCTACGCGTTTCGTACGTACAGGAAAACAGTTGTTGTCGTTGAATCAGGAACTAAATTTAAGCCAACATGAAGGATAGCATCATCAGCCCGCCGGAGAAGGACCTGAATTCGATCATGACTGTAGCTGACCAAGGTCAGGGAGGTCTCGAGGAAAAAACCCGATCAAATTCGACCACTCAATTGTCGATTGCTCTGACAAAGGACAGTCCTGCCATCACGACTCCCAAGCGCATCAGCAAGCGGAACCCTTCAAAAACCGCCGAGGATGGCGCAATGACAGGTCGCTCGCTCCTCCCATCTGAAGTTGCCCAAGGTCAGGTTGGCCTCACAGCCAAAGCTCGATCGAACTTGACCACTCCTTTGTTGATCGATCTCACCAAGGATAATCCTGATCCCACGAATACCAAGAGTCACCGCAAGCAACCTCCCCCTTCCAAAACCGCCAAGGATGGCGCAGTGCAAGGACGGCCGCTCGTTGCCTACAACAAGAACCTCAAGGTGTCCAAGTTCCACAGGCTCTACAAGAAGGCATGGAGGAAAGAGGTTTTTGGAAACCAGGCATTTATTACTTGGTCTTCTCGCACGGCGGAATACTCTGGTCGGGCAATCTCCAAATGCCCTGGCTGGTGGACCGATGTCAACATGGATCCATCTTCCGACACCCAAACCTACGACAACATCGCTGCGTTCATCCTGACTGGCCTGAATGTTCTAACGTCAGGCAGACAGACGGAACAACGGTTAGTACGCCAAATTGAACGTTGGTGAACGTTGGCGATGCTAGCGATCGTTTACGTGCATGTTTTCGCACACAATTCAATTAATTTTCAGACAACAAGGTTTTACGTCTTTTCCTTTGTCATCACCCAACATCAAAACAGTTTATCAGTTCCCACTGTCTATTGACTACCCAGAATGGTCATCACAAATGCCCAAAACACTGCTTTCTTCACCCATGATGATCAGATGGCAATCCCACCAGGAATTTTCGCTCCCCATCTGAATCAGCAAGGCATCACAACAATAGATTCGCTCAAGGAGTTCAATGACGGCATGCTTGATGATATTCACAAGCACATCACAAGACATGGCCCTCCAAATGTTGTCTTCAGTGCCCTGTCTCTTTCGCGCCTCAAGGCCGCTGCCTCTGCTGTCCGATTTTACCTTGCTACTGGCAGAGCACTCACTGCAGCATGTATGAGATGGACAAATACACTCATCATGTATCAAGAGGAGCGTGAAGCACTCAAGATTGCTCAAGAGCGGGAGGATCCAAAGGTACCATGTGTCAGCAAAGCTTTGCCCATCATGAAATGGCTTGCTGCCTTTAGATCTATCATCCATGAGAGCTATGGTGTGAGAGGTTTTCCTCTTGGATATGTCTTGAGAGAAAACGCTGATGTGCCAGCTGAACCACCGCTTGCTCCAGATCGACCATATTCTATTGAACATGGATCGCTTGTTGCCGAATTCACTGCTAGAGCATCCCATACTCACCCTAGGTTTCACCAGGATAATGCACGAGTATTTGCCAAGCTGGAAGAAGCGCTACGCGGGACGACTTATGCTTCGTCTCTCACCCCATTTGAGCAGACAAGAGATGGAAGGGGCGCCTTCTTTGCCATTGTTGCTCAATATCTTGGTAAAGAGAAGTGGACTAACGAAATTGAAAAGAACACTGATTTCATTACTGTTCAAAAGTGGAAGGGAAGGGAAACGGAACTTTTCCCTTGGAACGATTCATCGGAGGACATCGCAATGCCCACCAGGCGCTCCTTACTGCATCTCAACATGTGGAATACCAGATCCCAAATGAGCATACAAGGATTGGATACCTCCTTTGGGCGCTCCACACAACCGATCCTGGGCTCCATGCAACTATTGCCAACATTGAGGGCAACGAAGATCCCAATGGACCAAGATATTCTTTTGAAGAATGTGCACGATTGCTCCAACTTGCCGACCCGGTTGCCAAGAAGAACAAGCGCAGTCACGCACAAATCTCAGATACTACTGTTACCATTGATGAATCAGCCAACCAAACCATTGAGATTGCGTCTCTGCGATCTGGAATTGGAAAGACTGGCGTTCATCTCCGTTTCTACAAGAAAAAGGAGTTCGATAAGCTCCCTGCAGAGCAAAGAGCTGAGTTGAAAGCTTGGCGTTTGACACCTGAAGGGAAGGCTACAACGCAAGAGATAGAGCTGCAAAGGCTAAAGCTCATTGTGGAAACTCGTCTTCAAAGAAAGAAGGAAAAATATCGGCTGCTGCTTTTGAAAAGGAGCTGAAACGACGTGTCAAGCAGTACACTGATGAGGAAGACAAGAAGAAAGGTCTCCATGATACTCTTGTCAGCGCACTCAAAACCGTCAATGCCTCTGGAAAGATGCCTGCTCCTTCTGCATCTACTGATGTCAGTGCTATTGTTCTTGGCAAGATCTTGGGAAGAAAGATTGACTGGTCCCGGCAGAGCCCAAAGTTATTTCTGCGATGCATTGGACTCTGGAGCCGGACATACCCTGGAAGACGATGGATGACACAACCATTCCAGTGTCCCCGTCATTCTTTGCGACAATCGCGGCTGAACTACGAATTGATGCTACCAATGTTGAGCACCCAATGGATTCTAGATCAGAACTTGACTCCCACGCCAATGTGATTGTTGTTGGATCAAATTGTTTTGTTCTGAGTGATACTGGACGGACTGCTTCTGTCAATCCCTACAATCCTGAATATGCTGCAAAGAGTATCCCAATCGTTGATGCTGCCCTACTGTATGAGGATCAGGTCACTGGGCAGGAATATATACTTGTGATCCGAAATGCTCTACATGTACCTTCTATGACCCACAACCTGATTCCTCCATTTATTCTGCGAGAAAACGGAATCCAAGTGACGATACGCCAAAGATCCATTTGGCCGATCCCTCTTCTGATGATCATGCAATCAAGTTTGACAAGCATCTACGCATCCCAATGAAGCTGCATGCTACCTTCTCTTACTTTGTCACGAGGAAACCTACGGTTGAACAGCTCAATGATGTTCATCCTAATCACGTCTACATGTTGACACCAGAGGAGTTTGATCCACACAAATCTTCCGATGCGCAGACTGAAGATCATCTTGTCAATTATGATGGCGAAGTCGCTGATGCTCGGAACCGTTCCAAGCTTTTCATTTCAGATATTGAAGATGATCCCACGATGACTGTGTGTGCAATGTCGAATATGAGAATGGAAGAACAGACTCTTGTTGATGAGTTCGTTCTAGAGGAGAGGGATGCTGATGAAGGCCTATTGGGACAACCTTTCAATGTCGACCTTGCCTCTATCTCAAGTATTTTCTGTGAGCGCACATTGAGTCACCGTCTCTCCACTCGTCGTGAAGTTTTGAAAATTCATCGTCATCTGGGTAGGTAGCCCACTCATAGGTACATTCTTTCGTTGACGAACAAGTGTGTTGCCAAAGCGGGCTTCAATTAACTTGTCAAAAGCATCGCGCTTCTTGATTTCCATGTCAGAATGAAGCTCTCCAGAGGTGCGAAGATTTGTGTGGATCAAACTCCTCTGGTGTCAACATGTAGACGTGATTAGGATCAACATCATTGAGCTGTTCAACCGTAGGTTTCCTCGTGACAAAGTAAGAGAAGATACCATGCAGCTTCATTGGGATACGTAGATGCTCTCAAAACCAATACCTGACAATGAAGACTATGTTGGCATTCATGGACGTCTCATCAATCAGCAGCCGGTGTATGATCTGCTCCTAAATGCTGAAATCAAGATGCACACGGATGGTGAACGAATTTCCATTGGAAAAGTCAAACATCGAGTCACAACTCCCGAAGGAAAACAGATACCTACGATCCCAATCCAGCGTATGAGGTTGAATTCGACGATGGGACGGTCAGGGATTATGGAGCAACTACCATTGCTGAAAACCTTCTCACGCAGGTGGATGACGATGGTTACTCGAACACGATGTTCAAAGCTATTGTTGACTACAAGAGAGATCCAAAGGTGGCTGTCTCAGAGGAGAAGTGTTATGTCATGAGCAAGAATGGACAGAGACGAACCCGAAAGACCACCAAAGGATGGAAACTGATGCTCCTATGGAACGATGGGACACAGTCTTGGATTGACTTGAGTGTCTTGAAGGAATCAAATCCTGTTGATGTTGCTGAATTTGCCAAAGCGCATCATATTGATGAGGAACCTGCATTCCGCTGGTGGGTACCTCATACACTCAGAAAGCGAGACATGATCATCTCTGCTGTTAAGGCCCGTGTCAGAAAGACTACGCACAAGTACGGTATTGAAATACCAACAAGTGTAGAGCATGCAAAGAGACTTGACGCCCAAAATGGTAACAACTTGTGGATGAAAGCATTATCTAAGGAAATGTCCAATATTGGTGTTGCGGTTGAAGTGCTGGCCTATGGCGTGCTAGCACTTCCTGGATATTCAAAGGTCACCGGTCATCTAGTATGGATGTGAAGATGGATTTCACTCGCAAAGCCCCATGGGTACTTGATGGTCACAAAACACCTGATCCCCTGTAAACTCAGTATGCAGGAGTGGTATCACGTGAGAGTGTCAGAATTGCCTGCACCTACGCTGCCCTGAATAACCTGGACGTTTTTGCTGCCGATATCCGAAATGCTTACCTTCAAGCACCCTCATCCAGAAGGGACTATATCATTTGTGGCCCTGAATTTAGATTGGAGAATGTTGGAAAGGTTGCCTTGATTCATCGTGCCTTGTATGGCGGAAAGACCGCAGGACGGGATTTCAGGAACCATCTCAGAGCTTGTATGCATCATCTACATTTCCTGTCGTGCCCTGCTGATCCCAATGTTTGGATGCGTCCTGCTATGAAGGACGATGGCTCCGAATACTGGGAATATGTCCTTCTATACACTGATGATGCTCTGTGTGTCTCTATGAATCCAGAAAGGGTTCTCCGAAAGGAACTTGGGAAGTATTTTGAGCTGAAAGAGGAGAGCATTGGCCCTCCAAAAATCTATCTTGGCAGTAATGTACGAAAAGTTGAGTTGGATACTGGTGTTCAATGCTGGGCATTTGGATCCTCCCAGTATGTCCAAGCCGCTGTCAAGAATGTTGAGAGATACCTCAATGACCGTTCCAAGGCAGGAGATGAGCGATTTAAACTGAAGCCCAAGGCAATGACGCCGATGCAGACCTCCTTCCGGCCTGAGCTTGACGTGAGCCCAGAATTGGAGCCGTCTGATGCCTCATATTATCAGTCGCTGATCGAAGTCCTACGATGGATTGTTGAGCTTGGAAAAGTTGATATCTGCCTTGAATGTTCTTTGATTTCTTCGCAACTGGCTATGCCAAAAGTAGAACATTTGCATCAAGTGCTGAGCATTTTCTCCTATTTGAAATCTCATCACAACGCTGAGTTGGACCTTTCCTGTGATCGATGCTGCCGGATTTGAAAGGAAGGATTGGTCAACCAGCGAATTTGGACACATAGACAACTTGAAGGAAGAGCTGCCTCCAAACCAGCCAGAACCAAAAGGCATTGGATTTGTTACAACTGCCAAAGTGGATGCTGACCATGCCTCTGACACAACTACGAGACGTTCTCGAGCCGGTTTCTTTGTGTCGGTAAATGGTGCATTGGTGTACTGGATGGCAAAGAAGCAGACTGCAGTTGAGTCTAGCAGCTTTGGAAGTGAATTCTGTGCAATGAAGTTGTGCTGTGAATATCTTCGTGGCTTGCGATACAAGCTAAGGATGATGGGGATTCCTGTACTTGGCCCGTCCTTTATCTATGGAGATAATAAGTCGGTGTTGGCCAATACAAGTATCCCTGACTCTCAATTGAAGAAGAAATCTCAGTCCATTGCATATCACTTCATCCGTGAAGGAGCTGCAAAAGACAAATGGCGGACGTCGTATGTCAACACTCATGAGAATGACGCTGATTTATTGACTAAGAAACTGCCCTATGGTCAAAAGCGACGAAAGTTTGTGAATCGCCTGATCCATCATGTCTATGAACATAACTAATTGATATTGATCGATATGTTTTTTGATATATCTATGATACTGATCGATGTGTGATTCGATGTATCTGTGTACTGGTGGATGTAGGTCTCTCCGACCCTGATCGAACCACGTACTTCGTTGAAAACCTTGTATTTTACTGTCCTCGCCCCATTTTGCAATCTGTTACGCTTTAGCGCGTTTCCAGCTTGAGAGGAGTGTTCTAACGTCAGGCAGACAGACGGAACGACGGTTAGTACGCCAAATTGAACGCTGGTGAACGTTGGCGATGCTAGCGATCGTTTACGTGCATGTTTTCGCACACAATTCAATTAATTTTCAGACAACAAGGTTTTACGTCTTTTCCTTTGTCATCACCCAACATCAAAACATGAAGGCTTACGACCCTTCACTCGGCGGTTCGATGTCACAGCTTTGGTCCAGCATGCAGAGTCTGTTCTCCCTTGGAGATCTCGAAGACGCCGACGACGACAAAGGTTCCTGGGCTCTTCGCGAGTACTTTCTTCGTCTTGCAACACAGTGCCCCACGGTTGTGTTCGATCTTGCAACGGCCCAACGCGTTATCACTACGGACAAAAAGTCGCCTTGCTTTTGGGAATTTTTGCTCGTGTTTGACCCGACATTAATTGTTCAACGCGCCGAGCTGTTGACTTGGATGTGGCTAGCGTCATCCGAATTCTTTGCTCATCCTTGGACGGGCCCTGCGATCATTCCTCCCATTGTGGAGGAATTCGAGCGACTAGAACGAGAGTCAAAAATAGCCAAAGCTCAGTCCAAGTCTAAGAAGCGCCCTGCATCAACTCCAGAGAATCCAAAAGGTGCCAAGGCACACGATTGACGCCCGTCTCCCTCTGTCCCGATGCAAACGGAACTGACGCCACCAAAGGGGTCGGTCCAATCCCTACCAACGAACTCCACCTTCGGATGCCACTCCTCCTCACCAACAAGTGGTCATGTCTGACGCCGTTCACGTCATCGCCGGCACCCCAACAGGAACACAGGAAGCCAGTGTTCCAGCTGACGACGTCGTAGTAGCCAACACCCACCGTGGGAGGACCAGTGCGGAAAATGGAGCAGAGGAACACAATAGTGCCCCGACCTACAGGGACACTGTTGCCGCTCTCCCCGCTCCCACGGTTCCTCTCACCACCGACGAAC